GTAAGGTGAAGCATCACAAGCTACCACGAGCAGCTTTTTCTCATCATAGTGCGTTAAGACAGAGGAGGAATAAAGCATGGCTTTAGCCTTTTGAAATGCTTTCTCTTGGTCTTGAGACCATTTCCAGGAAGGATCTTTACAAAGTAGTAGATGAAGAGGAGATAATACAGTGGCTACATCTGGTAGAAACTTGTGGTAATAGTTGAATAGTCCTAAGAAGGATTTCAATTCCGTGACATTAATAGGAGTAGGAGCTTCTCAAATAGCCTTCACTTTGGCTTCTGAAGGGTGTAGACCATCTGAATCAATGATGTGTCCCAAGTACTCAACTAATGGAACCCCAATTTACACTTGGACTGCTATAAAGTGAGTCCTGCCTCCTCTAGAGTTTGCAAAACAGCATGAAGATTATTAAGGTGATCAGCATTATCAGTACCAGTAACAAGTATGTCGTCTATGTAGACACATACATGATGCAAGTGACTGAGTAAGTTCTCAATTGTACGTTGAAATAATGAGGGTGCTGATGAGACTCCAAAAGGAAGACACTCATATTGGAAGAGCCCTTTGGGGGTATTGATGGTTGTCAAAATCTTGGAAGCCTCATCTAGTGGTATTTGAAGGTAAGCATGCTTTAAATCGAGTTTCGAGAAGATCTTTCCTCCAGCTAGGGCAGCGAACAGATCCTCTGATTGAGGTAATGGGTATGTATCAGTTAACAGAACCGGGTTCACAGTAACTTTGTAGTCCCTGCACAATTGAATAGACCCATCGTCTTTACAATAGGAACTATTGGTGCAGGCCACTTAGAGTACTTTACAGGTGTAATAACTCCTAAACCTCTTAGGCAATCTATCTCGTTGAATATCTTTTGTCTCAGCAATAGAGCGACAAGACGTGGACGGTAGAACTTTGGTTTCACATCTGACTGGACGTGAATCTTGGCTGTAAAGTCTTGCAGCTTTTCCAATTCCGAACGCAATACTGGAGCATGCTTCTGGAGTACTTCACGTAAAGAAGAAAACGAACAATTATAATTAACATGATTAATAAGGGACCAATCTAGTCAGATAACTTCCAACTAATTACGACCCAATAGAGTCGGTCTATTTCCAGGATCTATCACCAGTGGTAGAGTAGCAGTCTGGGACTGATAACGAACATCAACATCTATAGCACTGACTGGCTTGATCTTCTGTCCAGTATGCGTAGTTAGAACTACATGAGAAGGAGAAAGTAGAGGAAGAGTAGAAGAAAGAGAGGAATAAGTGTCTTTACTCATTATAGATATGGAAGCCCCAGTGTCCAGTTCCATGGAAAGGTCAACCTTATTGGCACTCACTGAAACAACAATAGGTTTTCCTGCAGAAGGCAAAGTAAACAATGGGTAGTCCTCTTGGTCAGAGTCTCCCATGGGAAGAGAATGTGCTTTGAGGTCCAGGTTGTGAGTTGAGTGTTGTCTGTTTTTCTGCTGAAGTTGTGGTAGATACCCAGTCTTGGCTTTAGGATGATTCTTCCGCTGCTGTGGCTTCTCTTTTTGACTGCGACATACCCTGCATAGTGTCCCTTCTTTCCACACAGCCTACAATCTGCCTCAATAAACTTGCATTTAGTAGCGTAATGATATCCACCATATCTGTAACACTCAACTTTACTCTGCCTGTATGACGATTCCTTCTTGTGTTGAAGGTTATGAACAGGAGTCAGCGTCTGGTGCTGTGACTTACTCCCAGGTATATCAGAGACATCATGAGCAACTAGCTGCATAGCTTGAACTATTTGAAATACTTTATCATAATCTAAATCTGGCTCTTGTAAAAGTATTCTTTGGGTTCGAATGCTGTTGATGCCACAAACAAGCCTATTCCGAATCATAGCATCTAGAGAATC